CACGACGCCGTCGGCGCCGCCCGTCAAGACGTGATCGCCGTCAACACTCACGCGCGTCGCGCCGGCGGAGTGGGCCTGCCGCTGCGGAAGCATCGTTCAAGTCGCGCTGCTGCCGTGCGTCGCGGAGAGACAGAGAGAGGAGGAGAGAGTGGCTTGGCACAGGGAGACACATACGAGCGTCGGTGCAACTTGAAGCATCCACGATGCCCCGCACACAACGGCAAAGACTGCAGCGAGCAACAGAAAAAAAAAAGACAGCCAAGCACGCGGACTCACACACAGACACACAGAGAGAGGGGAGGAGAGCATCAAGGATACGCAACAAGAAGAGATTCGCATGCCTAGAACGTGCTGGAAAGGTTGAAAAAAAGGCAGCAAACACGCAAGTCAATGTCAGGCACAACAGCTCCTCTTCTCTGTGCCCTTTCTTCGTTTACTTGCTTCACCTGTTGACGATGAGCCTGCGGCGGCAGAGTCCGCAACAGCTCGAGGGACGTCTATGAAGCGCACGCGACGGATGTCGGGGGACGAGAGAGACAGGGGATCCATCTTGAGCACAGCAGCAACGAGGAACTCAACTGCCGCCTCCAACCCGATGCCCCGTCTTGGCTGAGGTGAAGAAGTGCCCGACGAAGCGGTACAAGTTGCAGAAGTCCTGCACCTCCCACTGGTGACGTAAGCGCTGCCCGCACTGGCAGCACCGCCATCGTTGTCGGGTAGGCATATTTGCCTGTCAGAGTGTCGTTGTTCGCGTGCAACGACGCGCGGCCTGAGGAGGAAGAGACCCGGCCACTGCCGCTGGTGTTGTGGCTGTTGTCGCTGCAGCAGCAGCAGCAACAGCAGCAGTCGTACTTGGTGCCCACGAGGATAGCCGGAATGGGCAGCGTGGTGTCACCAAACGTCGCCTTCGCGTCAATGTCCGCCTTCCACCCGGCCGCCTTCTCGAGTGAGACGCGATCCCCCGCGTTGTACACGACGATGGCGCCACGGCTCTGGTGATAGTGGCTTCGCGTTGCCGCCATAGAGTACTCCTGGCCCCACACATCCCAGAACTGCAGGCGCAGCAACAAGGCACCGACCCGCACGCGTTTCTCCGAGAACTCAACGCCCAGCGTGGCGCGTGTGTTGGCAACAAAGCTGCCGTGCACGAGGCGATGAATTAAACACGTCTTGCTGCATCCTGGTTGCCCGACCACGACGACCCTTCACAGCTGCTGCTGCTGTTTCAGCCCCACATTGTCGTTCTTGATGTTGCTTCTGCTGCGGCGGCTGCAGCGGGGTGACGACGGAGCGCCGCCGCGTGCAACCATCGTGGTGGTGGTGACGCGACGCGGCGGAGCCCCAGTCACGGGCGGCACCGTTGTTAAGCACAACGCCCCGCTGCGACGCATGTGAGAGAGCATCACTGCCTCTGCACGTCTCCGAGCAGCTGCCGCCATCAATGGAGGGCACTTCCGACACCATCACGTGCGGCTTCATTCCAAGCGGAGACGTGTCCCCAGCGCCATCAGAGGCAGCAAATTGAGTAGCAGCGGCATTGGTGATGGCATCAGTAGTCGCGGCAATAGTCGCGACGGCGCCAGAGTCCGTCGAGGTGTTAGTAGGCCGTAGCAACAGTCGCTGCAGCTTCGAACGGTGTCCGGGCCTTGGAATGAGGTAGCGGAAGAGTTCGTCACTCGTGCTGCTGTGCACAAGAAGGCAGAGATCGGCGAGATCCTCGTATCCCTCCGCCCAGAGCACGTACCTGTACTGCGAGAGTGCGTGTGCATCAAGGAGCACATCCACCTCTGTCCTTTCCGCAGGAGCTTCCTCTGCATGGCTGTTGCCCCGGCCCAGCACGAGGGTTGTCACGGAGCTGTCCGCAGGTGCAACAGCAGCCGCGTCGTTCGCTGCGACTGCGGTCTGCAGCTCCGCAGATTCCGTGGGGCCTCCCACCTCAGACATCACCGCCATCACGGCCGCATCGCCCACATGTGCGGGCATGGATGCCGCTGCAGCGTCCATGCGTCCTGAAGCAAATCAAGCACGTCTCTTTCTTTGTGTCTTTGGATTTCTCGTTTGTATCTCTCACTATGCGAAGGGGCCGT